CGGCAGCACCGTGTGCGCTCCTGCCGCTCCTGCCGCTCCTGCCGCTCCTCTCTTTAACACATGCTTGACAAGACGCGCTCACAATCGGCGCGACTAAATAATACATGTGCAGTAAAAGGATCTAATTTTACCGGCGTCTCACAGCGTGTACACGGGTCTCCCTCCACTTCAACCCAACTACTGCTTTTTATTCTATTTTATTTTGACTATTTTTGCCACTTCCTGTGTCGACCGTGGTGTCCAGGACCACCGCCGTCCACAGCTAATTATGGCAGTGAAAAACGAGGTTTGCCTTCTTCACTTCTTGTTTATTTTCTTTTTTTTCTTCATTTTTGTCTTCGGACAAATACCCTACTCCACCAATTATAATGGATTACCCCCCCCCCCCCCCCCTCAGAAGAACAGGACAGGTCACAGCTCCCAGTATAAACCCCCAGTTACACCAACAACATCAGTGGATTAAAATAAATAAATAACTAAATAAATCAGTGACCTGTTCCAAACTCGACCTCACCTTTGGACATCAGTGTTGAATGGTTTCTACTTCACTTTGTCTAAAAACCCACAGTAGTTTCTGTCCAATCCCACTCCTCGGCCGAGCATTTCAACCCACATCTGGTTGTGTTTTCATTAACCATTTTTCAATTAGCTGTGCTGCCCACTTTTCAGACTTAGTAAATGACCCAATCATCTGTCTCACCAACACCAACTCATTTATTTGGTTGTGTTTTATTTGCGTCGCTGTGAGAGGCCGACTTTAAAACCCCAGGGTCTAATTTCCTGCTTTAGTTTTATTGTTGTCGTGATTGTAGGAAAAAAAAGAAAAGTTTGTGAAGCGAACAAACATAAAAATAAAAAAAGTCACAGCGTTAAACCATTAACCAATTAGTCAAACACAACTGGAACTCGACGTTTTTAAAGAGAAACAATAAAATAGTTGTTCTTACCTTTCTTGAAATGCAGTAAAGCCAAAGAAGAGTAAAAATAAAAATAAAAATAAAAAAGAGTCTGAGTTTATGGAGTAAATGTGACTGAGTTAAAGATTGTCAAATTGCACAGGGACGGTGTGATGATGGCAACTCCTCTGCAGGTACCAGGCATGCTCCGGTGCTCCGGTGCTCCGGTGCTCTGTAAACGGGTCCCCAGCTCACTCGGCCCCGCAGATTACATCCCCTGCACCGGGCACATGCTTCCACGGCGAGTGTTCACAGAGTCTTGAACCCATCAACACCGCCGGCTCCCGGGTGATGTTTCACTCCCGAAGCAGCAACAGCAAACAAGACAAGAGGGGGTGTAAAAAAGAAGCTGAAGTCGGGGATGAAAAAACAAAAAAACATAAGTGACTAAAAGGTACAACAATCAAGAGTGGGGGCCCGTGGAGGTGTCTGCTGAACACGGAGGAGAACACCGCTCCTGTCCGCTACTTTAGCCGCCGCCAAAGTAGCTGCTCCCCTGGCTCCTGTGACCGGGAAGGGGCAAGTTTCTGCGGCTCGCCTCTGGATAATATCCCGCTCACAGAGTGGAGACACTTGGTGGAGGCAGCGCGGAGCGGGCTTCCAGTAAACAGCGTCAGTGCAGTGGAGAGCATGCAGGCTGCAGGCTGCCGTCTGCACGAGCCGTCGGAGAGCACGGACGTCTCCAAAACCAGGTGTGGATTCCAGATCCGCGCTGACTCGGAGTCTAAACCAATGCAAGACAGGAATCACATCACCTTATTATCATGTCAAATTCATGTCTTTTTTTTTCACCATTTTTACTGTGAGGCGAGTCAAATGGAAAAAATGCACTCCTTTTATTTTGACTCTCAGTCTGCCTGGAATTGAACCGTCGTCCGCTCTGTCTCTGGACACAGAGGCCCCTGCTCTGTCACAGGAGGCAGTCCAGCCCATTCAACCAATGAAAGAAGACTCATTTTACTGTAATACTACCAAGCATCAAAAGAAACATGGATGTACAGGCCGCCCCCCCCCCCCCTGCCCCCCCCACACACACACACACACAAACATACCACCACCATTACTTCTCTCCCACTCTTTTTTCACTCCAACTGGCACCAATGGACAAGCAGCAGTGACCAGGCTTCTAACAACAACAACAATAACAACAATAATAATAACAACAATAATAATAATAATTATTATTATTATTATTGTTATTATAGCGGTTTTTGTTATCCTGGTGTTAGTTTCATCTTCATTGTTGAGATTTTAAACGTGTGATCGTGTCGTAGGTGAATTCTGTCAGACGTGGATGAAGCCGCCCCCCCCCCCCCCCCCCCCCCCGCTCCACCACCACCACACTCCCCCCTAAATGTGAAGTTGAGTCATGCTCGCTGCTCGCCAGGTGAAGGTGAACATGGGAGGTGTGTGTGTGTGGGGGGGGTGACTTATGTTTTCATAAGCATAATTTTACATAATAATGCTGCCGTTTTCTTGCAAGGGACAAAAAAAAGAGAAAACAGATGTTACCAAAGGTCACCCAGTGGCAGGTATCCATATCTGCAGAAATGTTTATTTATAAGACCAGACTCAAAACACATGTGCAGAGAGGACGGCTGCAGCTCAGAGAGCAGCTCAAAGTGCCATATTTGCCTGAGTTCATTTGAATCTGCTTCCTGGGGCTGTCAACAGAGGGCATTAGACGTGTACTGTTAACATGATTCACAGTATCTGTCACACACTTGGTCCTCCTTTATTTGTTAACTTGGCTGCTGTTTAGCCCGAGCTAATGCACAACTCTCTGATCAGATCAGTGGTTGAACCTAAACTGTTTTACAAACAACTTGGAGACCATTTTATATTTAAAAAAAAAAGTAGAACTGGAAAAAGAAAAAGTACAAATTCTCACCACATACACACCTCACATATAACTTCATATATTTTAACACACACACACACACATCTATATAGTGTGTGGTTCAACACCATGTGACCTGAGTTAACAGATGCCACAGACAGGACTCCAGTCTCCAGGAGTAGCAAACATTCTCTCCATTTCCCATGTGGCTTTGAGCCTGCCTTTTGACCTTCAATTGTCCACCTACAACAATGCTTATTGGTTCCTTCCCAAAATATTTGCACATGATTGACATGTCAAGCACACATGACCAGTCACAGGACTGCAGCTTAGCCTAACAAATCAGTGTTCTTGTGCCGATAGCGGACACAGATTTGGGCAGGCTGCGCTTGGGAGCACAATTAACAAAGCCACATCTAGCCTCAGTCACTCCACGGTTTGTTCCTGAAGAGTTTCTGACCTACTTTATTTTCTGACTCCAGTCAACTTATCTGGGATTGACCGAGACGCGCCCCACAGACTTGGCCTGTGCCGCGCACTCGGCTGCTCCTGCGACCCAGGCGTTCGTTAGAGAAATCACTACGTTTTCAAGGCTAGGTAGAAAAATAACACTGATGGATCTGGGGACAACGGAGTTTTTGTGTTTTGTTTTCTTCTAGTCGTGCAACAAAATGTCAAAGTAAAACCATGAATATATGAACCGTAGGCTCAAAGTAATTCTTTTTCTCTCCGTCTGCACAAAATCCCGCAGCTTGATGGTTTTCCAGAGCCTGGGAATCTCATGCTCATCACCACCGCGCCAGCTTTCTTGTATTCTCTGCTATTCTCTTATCAATTTTGTCAAGCTGGTTTTAGTGGTCTCCTAGGATGTCAAACACTCGGAGCAGACTTATAAACAGTGTGGGCCTCTCCACAGTCTGAACTTGGTTAATATTTATGTAGCCACGGGTAACAATGCAGCTCGGAGTTCTGACATCACGTCTGCAGCACCGCGAGGAGCTCCTCTGATTCTGCACGGGATGGAGCGGCACAGAGAGCGGCACAGAGAGCGGCACAGAGAGCGGCACAGAGAGCGGCACAGAGAGCGGCACAGAGAGCGGCACAGAGAGCGGCACAGAGAGCGGCACAGAGAGCGGCACAGAGAGCGGCACAGAGAGCGGCACAGAGAGCGGCACAGAGAGCGGCACAGAGAGCGGCACAGAGAGCGGCACAGAGAGCGGCACAGAGAGCGGCACAGAGAGCGGCACAGAGAGCGGCACAGAGAGCGGCACAGAGAGCGGCACAGAGAGCGGCACAGAGAGCGGCACAGAGAGCGGCACAGAGAGCGGCACAGAGAGCGGCACAGAGAGCGGCACAGAGAGCGGCACAGAGAGCGGGACAGAGGGCGGCACAGATAGAAT